GAGGATCGAGAAGGAGGGAACGAGAGGTGGGCCGAGGACGCGGCCAACGGGACGCGGATATTGACGTACAAATAGGCATCGGCATTGGGCACGCCGCACCGGTAGACAACAATGGCCTAGACTTCGAGCTAGGTGGCTGGAAGCGTAGGTCTGGACGGCGTGGCCATCTTTCCGGCAGGATGATGCGGGATATGACTGAGAGAGAAGAATAGAAGACCGTGCTCGATTGTGCCGGGAGTTGGCCTCACCCGATATTTTGGGTGATAGTTTTCACACAAAAATCCATAGCAAGAGGGGCAACAGGATGGTGGAGTAGAGAAACTTGGACATGGCAAGCAACCACCGCCATGTCTCCCTCTTCGACGGCCGACCTGCACGGTCAGATCTAGAAAGAGATACCGGGGCAAGCTTAAAGGCAAATCCGATTTGCTGAGATCCGCTAACTACAACCATGGCTATACAACAGGAGGGATCCTTGCCTGCCCCACTCAACTTCGGCGATCGCCGGAAAAGGGAGGCGAGGGGTCGGCGGCAAGGAATTTGGCAGGGTTCTCGAAACCTCGTTTGTTTTGTCGCGAGGGGAGGAGAAACGTCCCAAATACTTTTCTTCTCACGGTGAAACGTCTAGAATACCGGTGTTGTGTTCCGAAGCCTTCTTCAAAGTTATGTCCGATATTGGGGGTGTTACCGCAAAAGTGTGAGTCATGTGGCTAGAGGACAACGCATCTTAATCTCAGTCACACATTTCAGATCGAACAGTACACATGACGTGAAGACATGTATACCATCATCACCAACTTAGTAGGAGTAGATAAAGAATAATTAGTCAAACTTTGTGTCGTTTGACTTTAAAGAAATCTTCGGAGTAAAAGGAAACGAGGGGAGCACTTAGCAGCTAGTAGCCTGGATACTCATGCGTTTGCTAGCTATATCCATACATGAAATTATAACCTGAAATGGATCGAGCTATGTAATCAGACAACTACTGTGGTCAAAGATGTCTGATTGGTCACAGACACACTGCAGACTGGTAAAGATAGGCAGCTAGCTGATCGATCGAGGCTGCGATGATAAAACAGGAGCCTGGAACGCGCCGGCGACACGCTGACCGACATGACGACGCCGATCAGTTTCCGGCCGCCAGAGGCCAGGTGAGCTCGAGGCCGCCGAAGTCATCCCATGCGCCGGTGGGGGCGAGCGCCCCGTCGCAGCCACCCCACGGCGTCCCGAGCCCGTCGTAGAGGTGGTCTGTGGCCGTCGGCGTGGTCCACTGGAACCCGGCGAGCCCGAGGTCGAACTGCGGCAGGAAGACGGGGCCGTCGTCGGTGAGGAACGGGAAGACCGGGAGCGGGGTAAGCGTGTCCTGCTGTTCCGGCTGCGGCGGTGGCGGCGAGTCGGAGGACGTCGTGTGGGGCTCGGCGGAGGACCTGCGGCGCTTGCCGCTGCCGGAGCGGCGGCGGCACGCGCCTCCGACGGGGACCTTGCGGAGCGTGCCGCCGTGCGTCCAGTGGCGGCGGCAGGTGCGGCAGTAGTGGCGCGGGTGCGCGGTGCTGTAGTTGTTGTAGTAGCAGAACTTGGTGTCGGTGGAGCTGCACCGCGGGCACTCCAGCTTCGGCGGCTGCTGCTGGCTCTGGCCGTGGCCGTTCTTCTTGCTCGCCGCTCCCTCCTGGTCACCTCCTTGCTTGCCGGATTGAGACAGAGTGAGCAGTGAGCAGAGACTGACCTGCGCGAGCTGTTGCTCTTGCTCTTGTTCAGCAGCGTCGGGGGCGGAGTCGGCGGCGGGGAGGAGCGAGGCGGAAGCTGGAGCCATCGAATGCCGTGCGGGACTGCGGGCGGGGCAGCGCATGCCGTGTCCGGCCCGGCCGGCTTAAAACGAGCTGCGGCCTGTGGGCGCGCGTGGTGATCACCGAGCTACACCCTACTCGTACTCGTAGGCTCGTAGCAGGTAGGGTGAGCTAGGAGAGGAAGGAGAGAGTGAGACGTAGCGGTCAGTGTGAGCTGGACCGATGGGCGGCAAGCGGCGGCGGCAATCAGCAGATGATGGAGCTGACGGATCGATCGACGGGAGCGGTTGGTCGTGGCCTACTAGTAGTAGTAACCTATGCGAGGCCGTGCGTGCAGTGGGTGTTCTATATGTAGAAGCCGGCGCGGCGGCGGGCCCGCGTGTGACTCGGCATGGACGTACGGCCGGAGAACTAGATGCCCTCCTTGCGCCCGAAGGTAGCTTCCTCCACCGAGCACGGTGCCGAGATACTGTGATGGACGTAACCCGACCCAACTGTTCTGTGACCGGCGCGTAGGGCGTCGTCGCACCAACATCTGGCATCGCCGCCACTGGGCCACGGCGGCGCACCGGCCGGACTCAAGCATCCAGTGTGTTCTGCATGCGTGACAACGTTAGCCAGCGGGGGCGGGTCGGCGTTAATGGGAACGGGCTACAGCTAGCGGGGCCTCGTCGTGTGCTCTGCTGGTCGCGTCACCGTGACGAGGCGCGGGACCGCCGGAGGTTGGCGAGCTAGGTGAGAGGACAAAAGGGGGACATGGTCGGTGCCGCTTTTTCCACGGGACGGGGCCACACGCAGCGTGCGACGGCGACGGCGCTGTCACCGTCGTCCCGGGGTGACGGGGTGAGGTTAATTTCTGCGCTAGCTTTTCGTTGGCCGACGTACAGGAGCCGCAGAGGGCCGCCGGCGCGATCCCGCGTTTCTCGTCGACGGATCCATACCATATGGTGGCTCCTATGCTGCGAGGCCACGCTGCTCCATCGGCGTTGTCAAGGCTCAAGAGCCAAGTCCTGTTCCCGGCAGAAAAAAAAACAAATTCTATTAATTTGGACGATTTTTTTCCCAGTGAAAACTTTTCTCATGCCAAGGATCAACTCCTGATTACCTTTGATGTCCAAAAATAAACTCCTGATTTCCTCCAAATATATCAAAATTTTGTTATTATGTCCAAATCGATGGTGTTATATAGTCTTTTTTTAACATAGTACTCCCTCCGGTCCTTTTTACTCCGCATATAAGAATTGTCTGAAGTCAAACTTCAAGTTTGACCATATTTATATGAAAAAATATCAACATTTATCATGCTAAAGTTATACAATACGAAAATTTAAGTCATAACGCTTCTACTAATATTGATTTCACATTGTGAATGTTAAAAAGTTGGTCAAACTTTACGAGGCTTGACTTCAGACAAATCTTATATGCACAATATATGTCGCTCACATACACGCATTCCTATGAAACACACACATATACTCTACCCCTATGATATTTTAACCACATGCGCCTCGTAGTCGACGAAAACGTCTCCTATCACTGAACGAACATCGCCGGAAGCCCGAAATAAATTCAGGAGTAATGCGAGCACCAACATCAAGTCTAGGACTTGCACCATGCGCTGGGATACCATGGTCCTTCTAACCATACAAACACAAGTTGGTTCACCATGGTTTTATATACTCATGTGGCATGATCTCGATTCTTCCCAGTATTGCATAAATCCTGACAGGAAACATCGGGGACGGGACATAGACAAAAAGGGTCATCTATTCATCGTTGGCTACTTGTTTTTACATTTAAAAATCATTTGATTTTCCAGCACCGTCGGATGAAATCCAACGGTTGACAATGTTTCCTCGTTTTCCGGATCTT